GCCCCAACGTACCCGTTTAGATGGCCCAGCCATAACTCCGTATCTGTGCACCACGTACTAAAGTAACGCAAACGGTCCGGCGTAGTCTGACAGACTACCGCACAAACATAATCGCTCCTAACTTAGGACACAAATGAGCAAAATTTACCGAAATACGCCTATTTTCAAGTGACCAATAGGGGAAGGATTAGACGGAGTGATGCGTCTGTAGGCGGTTCCAGTGGCGCGTAAACAGGATTTGTTATTACGGCGTAGTCTCTCAGACGACGCCGGACCAGTTAAGGGTTAAAGCAGTGCAATCATTTTGAAATTTTTATCATTTACTTATTATGCTTCATTAAGTACTTATACAAATTTTTAATGTAAATATAAGTCACTTTCTAGATACAAACATGTTTTAACCAGTGATATAAAATTAAGACTTACCAATGCACTAATCCTCACTCATCTAGACTATGGCGCTACAGTATATTATAATTTTCTTACGGAAGAAATGAAGCACAAAATTCAAGTATTACAAAACTGGTGCATGAGATTTTGTTTCAAAGATATACATATACAAGAACATATTACTGGATATTATGTGAGAGAGAATCTTTTAAAATTCAAGTATCGTGTATTACTTCAGTATGGAACTGTACTGTATAAAGTTTTAAAATATAAATTACCCAGATATCTGTTTATTGCTTTGGGGAAGGGATGTTCACTCCGCCAAGTTTCCTTACGCAACAATGCCTATTTCAATAGTCCAGTTCATACAACGTCTAAATTCAAAAAATGTTTTACTTACACGGCACCATATCTACTGAACGATCATTTCGGGCTTTTTTAAAAAAAGTGCTACTACAGCTGCAAATATTTGAATCCACAAATTAAATTTATGGTGCTTGCTACACTATGTTGCATTAACACTCAGACTATATCGTATTATATACTGTGTTGTGCATAATATTTGTTGTGCATACTAATCATTCTGTTGATATTAAAAAACGCTCATGAGATTAACTTTTTAGGGGGAGGTGAAAAATGGCTCTGCCAATCCTCTTTCGTTTTGGAATGTTGTCGTTTTTATATTTTTTATGTATATACATTCCAATAAAAATTATTATTATTATCGTTATTATTATTATTATTATTATTATTATTGTTATTATTATTATTATTATATTCTCGAAACATAAGAATTTCAATTCGCTGTTTTTCGTTAAGTACAAATGCCATAATAACGCCCGAAATATTTGTCGCTTTTGAATTGTTTTGACATTTCTAATTGTTATGGTTCTGAAGTCTCCATGACATTACAAACAAATGTTCTTCTTGTTTATTTTGGAATACAAACAAACGAATGATTTTTTACTAAGATGCAAGTGTAAGGAATGAAACAAAGCGTGATGCCATATCTCCGAAATTGACACGAGTAAAAAAAACGATAACATCAGGTGATTAGAAAGTTGATACAGGCAATTGATTACAAAAATAAAAATTAGGGTATTCTATTTAAAATTTTAAAATTCCCTAACCTAGAGAGAAAACTTAAAACTTGGCAACCTTCTTAAATATAATTGAATTCTTCATGTTGAGTTACCGCTTCGCACAAAACTTGGTTCATTTATATTTGACGGTTGCTGAGATACTCCACCGTTCCGGTTTTTTTTCTACTAATAATCTTCGCCTGAGTATCACATTTTTTCAGGACTGCCTTAAGATAGATAGATAGATGGATAGATAGACATTTATTTCCAACAGGTACATGTGCACCCAATAACAGGAAATGCGTAAAATCGAATGAACATTTCGTTTTATGTAAAAGAAAAAAATATAACTAATGTTATCTAAAAATAAACACTTGGATAATATAAAAAAGATATTTCGAAAAAGATACAAATTAAATGTGATCTGCAAAATGTAACTATAAACTAGCGAGATAGGGGAAAAATTGATGTCACAGTTGTTACATATCAAATTAAAATTGTTACAAGTCGAAATAGGCGACTTAAGGTTCAGGGTCCGCTATTCTTTATTTTGTATATGTCGTAGCTTCTTCGAGAATTGTCTTCTTAGCTAAGAAACCGGTCATTTAGCTAAGTAGCGCTACTTAGACTAACGATTTTGTAGATAGAAAAACTCCGAGTATTTTTGTCTATAAAGCTGGAGTCTCAAGTCACTTAAAGTAATGACGTTCAGTGTACCCGCCCATTTTCTATGTGGCTGAACCGAGACCAGCTTTATAGAAAACGCAACAACCCTTTTTTCTAAGAAGGTAAACTATCAGTTTCTTAGCCTAAAAGCTAGGAGAGGAATCAATCAATCAGAGAACAATGGATGATACAAAATCAAATCATCATTTTATACTCGTCCTCTGTGAGAAAAATGGCATAGTTGAATGGTAGGTACTATGAGCCTGTTCATATTTGAAAATACGAAATTCTAAATTAATTTCTTATGGCGTCCGTTAGCGCATACCGATTGCGATGGCAGGGTCCGGGAAATCGAAAGTTCGCCTGTTGTTAGCTTACCAAAGTTAAAGATTGGTTCAAAATAAACTACACGTAAAATACTCTTCAGAGTCTTGCAAAATAAAGCTTGAACTGTCGTTTATACACTTGGCACCCAAAAAAAAAAAAATTAACCGGTTTTTATCGCTTATAACTCGAAAACGGTTAACTTTAGAGACGTTTTTGTTCAAAATCATCTGAAAATTCTAAGAAAGATCATAAATTATCTTTGCTTGGAAAGCTAACAAGAAGCGGACCTTTGACTTCCACAGGTCTGTACATATTAACCGGTGTTTTATATAAAATATTAAATTGATTTTGTATCACTTGGTTGTTCTCTTATTGAGTGATACCTCCTGTATTTGTAATTGCTGGTTTCAGTCTTTTAGAAAAATAGGTGCATTTTACATACACCTAAAACGTCGTTAGTCTAAGCAACTGGAGATTTCAGCTTCATAGTTAAAAATACTCTGAATCATTCTAAAAGGCTGGTTTAGTTAGCTTTATAGAAAAATGGGCGTGCACCTACAAAGTCATTAGTCTGTAGCGCTAGTTAGCTGGTATATCACGGGAGTATTACGCATAACCACAAGTTGTAAAAACTCTCATCAGCGCCTAAAATCCATTACTACACAGTTATTTTTCTTCTAAAAGAGATCTACATAGCTTTGAATAATTTGTATGTCAATGCTTCTGTTCTCGTCAAATTTCAATAACAATAGCACTATATATTCAAATAAAAATATACTTATTCACCTTCAAGGGATATAGATAGTGCGATCAAACTGGGTATGCAAATATCATGTTTCCAGCAGTTTGCACTTGGTACAGCATACAATAAAGAAGTGATGTTCTTCAGACATGTCTGAAAAGTTTCCTTTAAATTTGTATTCACATGAAAGCTTTACGATCGGTATAGCCTTGGAAATTTCACAGAATCTAAACATATCCTTTGCGGTTGTCTCCGCGATTGATGTCGCTCAGACTGCTCAATTATAGAAACTATATTCCCTGAATGGGTGAAAGCTACATTAACGTTTGGTTGCTCTTACAGCCTTGATCACGGTACAGACCTACTAGTACAAATGAATATTTACGTAATCAAACATGTAATTTTGTTAGCGCTAGTATTGTAATAAAAAACGTGTTAAACAAAGTGAGTTAACATGCTTCCTAAATTTTTCCCGGTAAGATAGAAAATCCGGAAGATAAAACATGAACAAATTTCCATCTTCCTGTGAGCTGACTGATAGACGTGACCTAAATTCGATTCGACGTGACTGCCGAGAAACAAATATTACCTGACAGTGCGCCGGAAAGCTTTATGGAAGCTTGAACAGGAAGTCTAAGTTCTTGCTAACATTGTTGTGTATCCCAGCTCGAATCGCCCTGACGATTGTCATTTTCCGGCATATTTGTGGTGCATGTTGAGGTTCACCCATCCAGGAATCCGATTAAGAAAAAAATCCGTTTGTGATTGTGTAAGTGAAGCCGTGGACCAACTAGAATTGGAATTTCGGAAGAGCCATCGCCAGTTGCCATTCATGGCCGGATCTTGATTACTTAGTAGTGGGTAGTAAATAATTTATAGAAACGTATCGGATTTAATAATTGTTGAGGATCATAGTTTTTTCTGTATTGAAGAGGTTATCTGCGATTTTTAAGATTTACTCTAAGGATCGCTGGGACTTGTCAATTGTGCTTGCTCTGCCTAAGTTTAGCAGGGTTCGTCTGGCAGGCTCAATGGAGGAGAACTCAAAGATCGCCGACCTCTTGTCTGTGTGAACGGGTCCAGACCTTCTGTTAGAGGAGTGTCTTTGATCAGTCGAGTAGCCCTCCTCTGAACAGCATCTAGTATGGACAACGTAGTCGTGGTGGCAGAACCCCAAACATATGAGCAGTATTTGAGGCCTAGGTCTTATCTAAGCTTTGCACAGGATGAGAAGTCATTGGTAATCTGGACTCCGACCAGCCGAAATTAATGCCAAGCGACAGGACTAGATTTTGCAAGCATTAAACTGTAGCAGATTGTTGCGTCCCCAGGTTTCTCATCAGTGACGGAGTCATTACTAATTTTCTCTTCAGCTCATCGACAAAGCTGTGGATGGGATTGCTCATTCAGGAGAGGAGGCCGTTGATATGTAATAGAAGCAATATTTGGGCCAAGACCGATCCCTAGGGAGCACCCGCGTAGAGATTGTGAGTATGAGCCGTATTTATAAAACAAAGGGTATCCTTGTACTTGCAAATTTTAAAGGAGATCCTCCAGATGGTATTTATAATAATTTGAAGTAAATGCTTTTACTTTTTGAGTATAATCATATCCTTCAAAGCAGTGATATAGGTAAAAGGATATTCATAATCTTCACCGTATACTTGGCATAGGAAGCATATCCTCCACAAATTTTGAGTGTGGTCAGTAGCAGACTCAACTACGTAACGAAAGGTGGTCAAACGATGGTAGTGGAAATTGCTGATGTTAGGGATGTCATGTATTCTTAAAATGAAGATACGTCTACGCTATCTCGGTGACCCTGAATATCAACAAGGTATTGGACAGGACCTTGGTGTTAGTCAAGCAACGGTATCTCGGACTGTGGATAGAGTTGTGAACAGCATAGTTGCACAGTCGAATGAATGGATCAAGTTTCCAGCTACCAACCATGAACTGATGTAGGTCAAGCAGATATGGCAAAGCTTTTTGAAATTTCCGACAGCAATTGGTGTAATTGATTGAACACATATAGGAATCCTGAAACCAAATCGCCATGGAGATGAGTATATCAACCGAAAAGGGAAACCTACTTTAAATGTGCAAGCCACTTGTGATGCCAGAGAGATATTGACAAGTGTTGATGTCAGTTGGCCTGGATCAGTGTATGATTCCAGAATATGGAGAAACGACTAATAAATAAAGCAAATTTTTTACTGCTTGTCGAGGACGGTTATGGTATGACTCCCTTCAGAAATCCTTCTCCAGGTGCAGAAATAAATTATAGTAAGCTTTTAAAACTAGAAAGAGTTATAGTTGAACGATGTTTCGGCCAACTGAAACGCCGGTTTCCTATCCTACTGTAAGTTTGCCGCGTAAAGTGCCGAAAATAATTATTGCTTGTATTGTACTCCATAATGTTGCGAAGAGCTTGGGCGATCCTGATTTTGAGTTAGTTGAACAAGACCCAGATGAAGATGAAGCAAATCATGAGAATGACTAACTTCCTCTCCGTCAACTAGGTCAACAAACAAGAAGAAACTTGAGTATTATAATAAATAGTTTTACTGATTAAAGTGTATTTATAAGATATAATAGGTTTCGTGAACATCATAAGTTACAGGTGGCTTCTGACGCTCCATCATTTCTAATTTCGTTTCATAATACTCTTGTTGTAAAATACTTGTTTGGTACTGCTGAAATAGCACTAGACGTTGCAGTTCTTTTGTAGTTAACCCTTTGGTTTCCTCAGTTTCATATTTCTCTGTTGCTAATTTTCCTTTTGGTGACAATGTCTTCTGAATTCCTGGCGCTGTAATACTGCTTGCTCACTGCGCTCGGTATATAGTTCACTTCCTTCTTCTTGAACACTACCAACCTGAATGGCACCTCTAATTTTCCCCATTGTAGGATTACAGTCACCTTCCATAGCCCACCTTCCTATAATGGGAGCAATGGCAATTATATCTGCGATGAGCTGCAGGTCGTTGCCATTATTTTCTATAGTTTCCTCATCACTTGAGAATGACATGCTTATTAATTTGATAAAACCCTGTATCCAGTAGAAATACGGAATGGTCTGTGCAAGCTCTGGAGTACAACTATCAGTGATGCTGAGTGAACGAACTCCCACGTCAACTACAAGCTGGAACAATTCAGGACATTTCGCTCAAGATACAAATACCAGTCAACCTTTTACTTCTTCTTGGAGGATATCCTCGCGAGTATAAGGTAATCATTATGAATATGAAAACAAGCATATGCTTATACTTCTACCTTTTTCTCCGAAGCAAGACCTTATACTTATACTTTCGAGGATATGCTTCTCTTTTATGAATACGACTCAATGTTGCTATGACATGTCCCTCATCATGAGACTGGATGAACTTACTCCGAGTTGTGTGACGTTAGGTTCCCGTTTATCGCCTGTTTCGGAAGCGATTTGATCGCCTTGCCCACAACAAACAGCAGAGCTATATGTCTGTAGTTATAACGATCCGTCTTAGATCCTCTTTTTGTGATGAGCAGGTCATGAATAAATTTCTAATCCTCCGGGAACGTGCCAGATTCGAAAGAAATCTGGAAGATACATAAAAGAGCTGAAGCCATCTCCGCTCCACATCTGTTCAGCACAATAGTAGGGATCAAGTCAGGATCAGAAGCTTTGCTGATGTCAAGCAACAGGAGCATCCGTATTCCGGACTTAGGCCTGAGGGTTACGGTACAGATACACATGCTCATAAAATAGCATGAGCATGCTTGAAAATAGCATGCTCTTCAAACTGATACTTTTGCTTGTGCTTAGCTTGCTTATTTAGAGCATGGCCTTCTCGATCTTGCTTAAAGCAAAGACTCCGAACACATATGCTATTTAATAGAAAGCCCTCTGTCTGTGTTCCATTGCAAAAATGGAAAACCAAGTGATTCTCTCCACAGAAGTGAATAAAGTCATCATTTTAAGACGCAGATTGCATCAATGCAGCTTAATGACATTTATTTCGTGGATGATGTGGATATTAAAGTCTCTATTTTTACTGGCCGTCTTATTTATCTATTCGATCTCTACGCTCCGCTACGTACAGTACGTGTCACAAAACCTGCTGCGCCCTGGCTCACTCCTAACTTGAAAATGATTTTCCAACTCAGAGACGAGGCATTTGCTGTCTATCGGCATAACAGATCTGATCAGAATTGGGCCAGCTACAAAGATTTGAGAAATTATGCATATATGTCACGTTTGGGGAATCTTAACTCTAGTCAAGCTTGGAAACAGCTGAGGAGGATGAATGTGGTAGCCCAGAAACATGTTGCGATACCTCCCAGTCTCCTTAAGCCTACCATTTTAAATAATTATTTTCTTTCAATTTTCCAGACAGCTGCAGCTGATCCAAATTTGATTGATAGTGTCTCTAACTCTTATAGCGATAGACGCCATACACCGGATGTATCTCTGTTTGCTTTTAAACTCCTTACTCAGCAAGACATCGTCAACATAATCACTCACATTAAGTCTACGGCATGTGGCTGATGGTCTAACTTTAAATATGGTTTGCTTATGTTTACCTGATACCATAGACCATGTCACTCGCATTATTAATGTCTGTCTCGAAACAGGTTACTTTCCTGCCAGTTGGAAAAATGGTATTATTATTCCAATAGCTAAAACTAATCATCCAGAACAATATTCGGATCTCAGGCCAATTACCTTATTATGCTTTCTATCAAAAATACTCGACAGAGCTGTCTACTCACAACTAGTGGAGTTTTTCGAACAAAATCACTTATTTCCTCTACAACAGTCAGGTTTCAGAGCTGGTTACAGCACTACTTCGTCTTTATTACATCTTACTGATTCCATCATTCACAATTTAGATAATCACATCAACACCGTCTTGGTACTGTTAGATTTCTCGAAAGCCTTTGATATGGTCAATCACCAGATACTACTGAGTAAGTTATCTCATTATGGAATGTCAGATATAGTTCTAAGGTTCTTTTAGTCATACTTGCTAAATCGTCAACAAACAGTGAAAACTGATCAGGGAATTTCTTCCTCTGAGCCAGTTCCTACGGGAGTTCCACAGGGCTCAGTATTAGGTCCCTTACTATATCTAATTTATACGATCGATCTGCAAGACTGTTTAGTCCACTGTTTGGTTTCGATCCATCAAAGGTTGATGAAGTTTCTTTTAAAGTTAATTTCGATTCGGCTAACGTCAGTGTTTACTGTAACAAACATTGCTTGAAGATCAATCCTAATAAAACTACTGCAATGTTGTACTGTTCGAAGAACTCCTACCGTGAAATGAAGCAGAGGATTTGTGTTGTTTTGGATGAGCACTCATCACTTTTGTAGATTACGCCAAGAATCTCGGTGTTACCCTTGACTTAAATATGAGATTCGATCGGCATGTCTCTTTATTATCTAGAGTAACGTATATGCGTTTGAAACTCCTCTATTCTAATCGATTCATCCTGAATTTTAAAAGCTCGTTGAAAGTCTTGTGTTGTCTGTCATTTCTTACTCTCTTGTTCTTTATTACCCATGTTTAGACTACGTCCTCAAAAGGAAACTCCAGAAAATTCAGAACATTTGTTGTAGGTTTATTTTTTGTTTGCGCAAGTTTATTCGCGTCTCAGATAAAATCAAAGAACTCAACTTGTTGCAAATTGATAAGTTCTTCATGCATAAAGTTCTATTATCTGACAGACCAGCTTACCTCGCTAGCAAATTAGTTCACCGTGGTAGTTTGGTACCAGAGCTCGTAGATTTAATGCTAATTTTAACATGCCTCCTCACAATACCTCGGTCTTTGAAAGAAGTTACACCTATAATGCTGTCAAGCATTAAAATGCAGTCAACAGTGGCTATCGATCCAAACAGGTTGCTTCTTTTAAGAAATTAATGAAAAGTCAGCTGCTGGAGTCCATTTAGTTCAGTTTTTCTTGTGTTCATGTGCTTTTTTTTGTTTGACTATTTTCTACTATTTTTGTTTCAAATTTAAAACTCTCACAATACTATCTGCATTTGTCTCGTGCAGTCAATGTTGTTATTCTTATGAGCTGTATTTTTTTTTTGGTTTGTTATTATTTTGTTTATGTGTTTAAGTATTTTTTTCCTGTTGTGGGGTTGGGTGTAAGAGTAGCCGTCTGGCAAAACTTCGCCTCACTGCAGCTAATAATGGCATTATTATTATTATTATTATTATTATTATTATTATTATTCCAATACAATCTGTCCAAAAACTTTTGGTATCAAGAAAGGAGAGGAGAAGGAATAGGACGATTTGGGTGCGAGATCGGGTAGCTAGAAAAGAAAACCTCGGGGCAAGTACTCAATTTGCTAGCAGAAATGCGAGAACACATTGATGATTTCGATATAGAATGACAAACGTCTTGTCGTTACCCCAGGGTGCCATTTTTTGAACACACACGTGCACCTGCTGCGAACAGCTGCTACTCAAGAATAGCATGCTTAATAAGCCGACCTGTTCACACGCGCTAAAAACACACCCCTTCCACCCGCGCTGCTGGTAGCATGCTCAGAAATCGCACGACGGTCGATTTTTAAGCATGTTCAGAAAAAGCACCTAGCACGTTAGCGGTTTTGCCGGCGTCCAGAATCACGGACTGCTATTGTTCTGTGACATTACCCTGTGACTAACCTTTATATTGTACTGTTTTTAACATTGCGGTCCGCTTCGTCATATTTGTTTCTGGACTCGATATCGGCTTGTCTATGCTCTTCATTGGGGTTTTCTAAAAACGTTTGGCGAGCCCTGTTTTTCTTTCATAAGATTAATTTATTAAGCTCTCATTCATGTTACTAGACACCATTTCAGCTTCATAGTTATATTATTAGAGAAATTAACAATAGACAAAAAAAGGAAATTGCAAAGCATCAATGCACCTCAATATATTCGAGTACAATAAAAACATAAGCATTTTCATAAAGTTTGCTACTGTTTAGATTTAATGGCTGTTTTGTTTGGGATTCTATTTATATTCGCAAGAATTTATAGTGAGTAGTGAAAAGTCTATTGTTATGTAGTTTATACTCCTAACTATAAAGTGAATATTTGATTTATATCGGATTACGTCATTCAGAATTAAAAGTGGAGCAAACAATGACCTCACAACAGGGCACACAATGAGGGTATATCATTTGGAAACCGCCACGGATTTATTGAAAACCATTGATTAAAAGAAAAACACCGAGACACGTCAAAAGATTTGTTAAGGGGGACAACTTCTTATCCCATTTATGCCTAATGTACTATGCCTAAACGTGTTTGTTCCTGTAAATATCTGTACGATTTGGTTAAATTGTATAAATAGCTCGCGGCGACAGTTTGCGGGTGGATCTCGTACAGTACGGAGTAATTTTGCGTATTGTGCAATATTTTGTATGAGAAATCAGTTTTTGTATATTGGAAAATAGAAGATGAATGAATATGGCGTGCGCTTTGCAAAGTAAGTACGTTTTTATGACGTAAAATAAAAAAAACTAGTTTATTTTTATGAAAATATTATTTTCTTACTTGCGGCTTCTAGATTTTATGATTTTATGATGTGTTTCATTTATGCTTTGTTTGTGAGGTTATGATAAGGTTAGGTGTACTATATTTAGTACATCAGGAAAAAAGGGGACTACGAATATGTTCATAGTCAAAACAAAAATAAAAAAATGGTTTTAGGTAAATTATTTTGAGAAGGAACATTTGTTTCAGGGGTTTTTCTTTGCATGAGGCGCTAGCAATTATAGAAGATGACGACATTGAAGCTGAGTCTATCACTTTGTTACCCCTCATTAATGCATGCGGTAACATAACCGACAAGGATTCTGGAGACGAAAAGACTGGATATCAACAACTTGCCAGGAAGCTTAATGCAAGCTGAGGTCGAAATAAATAAGAATCAAAACGATGATATGTGGAGTCCAGAAGATGAAATACCACTCACTGAAATCAGGGGTAATAATCGGGAGGAAGTTAAAAAGAAGAAAACATATAATTACGTAAAAGAAGATTTGCCAAGAAATGAGTATTCGTTTCCAATAAACAACGAAAATCAAAATGAACAAGAGCAGTCCCCAACCGAGATATTTTTTAGTTTTTTTGATGACGAAATTTTGAACATAATAGTTGAGGAGACAACTCGGTATGCTCAACAGAAAAACAGGAATATTATGGTTACCAAATCTGAAATCAAATGTTTTCTAGGCATATTATTGTTGAGTGGCTACAGTAGTGTATCTCGCAGAAGGATGTATTGGGAAAAATCCAGTGATTCATATAACTCACTTGTTTCTGATGCTATTTCTTGCGATAAATTTGAATTTATAATGCCTCACATTTACTTCCTAAACAATGAAGCTCTGGATGCAAATGATAAATTTGCTAAACTAAGGCGTCTTTTCAATCACCTAAATAAAATTTTTTTGGAATACGCAGTACCAGAAGAGCATCATAGTATTGATGAGGCAATGGTTCCATACAACGGGCAACATGGTTGTAAACAGTATATCCACGAAAAACCAATACGTTATAGGTTCAAATTTTGTGTTGGCGCTACTACTTTTGGTTACATCTTATGGTTTGAACCTTATCAAGGTGCTTCGACGTATGTGAACGCGGCTTACAAATCTTTAGGTGTTGGCGCATCAGTTGTATTGAGCTATGCTGATAGGCTAAAAAGCAAATGGGCAAATCTTAGGTTTCATTTTGTATTTGATAATTTTTTTTCTTCGCCACCTTTGTTTGAAAGCTTGACTGAAAAAGGCATATGTGGTACAGGGACAATTCGTGAAAATCGTAGACCCATGTGTTCTTTGAAAAATTCAAAACTTATGAAAAAGGAACAACGTGGAGTGTTTGATTATACCAAAGTAAAAGATAAAAACTTAATTTTTGTAAAATGGAATGACAACAATATTGTAACTTTTGGGTCTACAGTGATTGGAATTGAACCAGTAAATTCAGTAAAGCGGTATTCTCAAAAATAAAAAAAGTTTGAGTATGTAGATCAGCCCCAAGTTGTAAAGCTGTATAATAAATGTACGGGCGGGGTGGATAGGTCAGACCAGAATATAACTCAATACAGAGTACAAATCCCAGGTAAAAAATGGCATTTCTCGTTGATCTCTCAATGTGTAGATATGGCCCTGACAAACGCCTGGCATATTTATAAAAAGAGGGGAAATAACATGGATCAATTACAATGTAGAAGAAGTGTAGCTACAACTATTTTGACACAAAATAAGAAGACTTACGTACCAGCAAGGTAAATCAAGAAATTTTGGTGACATAAGGTATGATCGCTTAGATCATTTAGTTAGTCCACAAGGCAAACAAAACAAGGTATGCACACTGTCATGAGCGCACGACTACTAGATGTAGAAAATGAGATGTCGCCCTTAATGTGAAATGTTTTGTTCAATATCACACTCACAACACAATTTGCAATATTGATGTGTTTCAAAATATTTGTACTATTTTCAATATTTTTTTTATTATTATTCTTATAGCTACCTTTATTCCTAATGTACTATGTATAGTACATCCTAAAAAACTAACTGTTTATGTATTTTTTTTTAGAATAAATTGAAAATACCTCCAAAGTGTCGTCTTTTAATAAGGTTTTTTAAAAAATAATAAAAAAAATGTTTTGCAAGTCTTTAGGCATAAATGGGTTAACTAAAAACTACTTCATCCTCTTTCACCCTCGGCCCCCAGGGGCATTCCCTTAAAAACTTTTAAAGACAAGGGGTATGGAGTAATAAAAGCTTGTTTTGTTTTCAAGAAAATGAGAAAAATCTTTATTTATCTTAATTTGTTCATATAGAAAATAAAAAAAACCCGAAAATATCACTTTTTATTTAAATAAGTGTTCAAGATGTTTTCGGTTAGGGTTTGCCAAATCTACAATTCGTTCATAATTTAAAACAGATATCCTGGGAAAACTGTATTTATTGTTATACATGTTAGTTATTTGTTGCTAAGGGAAAGAAATAATTTACCTTTGTGACGATTTTGGGATAGTGAAAATTAATTTAGTGATTCAGATTTTATTTCCAAAAGGGTTTACACACTAGTCGAAATAGAGGAAATGATTCTAATTTATGGTGCCCAAAATCAATGCGCTTGGTAAACTGCCGTCAAGTTAAACGCCAGAGATCCGGGAAGATAACTTCGCATAGCTATGTTTTGGTCCTTGTTACTGAATTTTCTCAAACTGGATCTGTTGCAAAAAAAAAGGTGATCATCGGAGAGTTTTGAATGAAGCCGCTCAAGTTGAAGTGTTGGGTAATTTTGGAATAAATCCTATTACTTCATTACTCGGAATTGTTGTTGCGACTGGTATTTGATTAGGGGAGTTGAGTTTTGTGAACAAATGACTGCAGCGATTGATGATAATATCATTCATGTAAAGAATATCTGCTTCCGTGATGAATGCACATTTTATCTAAACGGATTTATTAATAAGCATAACTACAGGTATTGGAGCAATGAAAATCCTCATGCTTTTGTAGAAGGGCATACACAGTACCCCCAAAAAATTAATGTATGGGCAGGCATTTTAGGAAACAAAGTGGCTGGGCCATTGTTCTTTCATGGAAATTTGAATGGAGACATTTATTCAGTTATGTTGGAAAATACCATCAATCCGTTTATCACTGAAACCCTTGAAAACCAACTCGAAGAGAATGGAAATCCTATACTTGATGAGGCTGAAATATATTTCCAGCAAGACGGCGCTCCTCCTCACTATGTTCTTCCGATTCGGCAATGGCTAGACGACGATGGATAGTGCGAAGAGGGCTTACAGAATGGACTGCTAGATCTCCTGATTTGACGCCATTAGACTTTTTTCCATTGGGCCATTTGAAATCTATTGTGGTTACTCCCCAACCTGAAAGCTTGGATGAACTTCGTCAACGCATCACCGAAAGCTGCCACGATATCCCACAACATGTTTTTGAAAATTTCTGTCAGGAATTTGAACATCGCCATTACCATCATTGTTTGTCCAATAATGGGCAACATTTTGAACACTTATTGAAATAAAAAGTGTGTTTTTGTTCTCTATCTGAACAAATTAAGATAAACAAGGATTTTTCTAATTTTCTTGAAAACCGATTTAAAACCCCCTACTGCATGATTTTTTTGTTTTTGTTAAAACAAATATATGTGCTAGTTCATATTAGAAAAGTAACTAGAAAAATATATAAAAAAATTATTGATGCTTTTTTTTTAAAAAATAGCCTTTTTCGACATGTGCCAAATTTGACACAAATTGTAATAGTTGAATAATAGCGGAAAAATTTACTGAAACCATATAAATATGTTATAAATCGTTGAAAATACATGGGAAAACACCTAAACTAAATGTAATTTTGAATAAACATTTATTTACTCCAGATGAAAACGGCGAAAACAATAACGGTCTTTGTTCAAACATAATCTAACATTACATTTATCACACCAAACTTCAAGAAATTTGCATCTTTGGCGATCTTCATGCCACTCAGGAAGATGTCCCACATTGTCGCGACGAATTTCTTGGGCTGGTATTTCCGCAAAAGGATATTTCCTTTTTTTTTAAATCCAGTTGAGGCTGTAGTGAGCTATTGGGTCTGCCTCGCTTTTTTGAAGTTACGTGGGATCTTGTTAGAATTTCTGCTAAACCAAGTTTGAATTCAGCCAGTGGCAAATAGTCATCAGAATTGTTCTCAGTGAGAGCTCTTTTCCACAATATCCAACTATTACAGCACAACGTGTCGAGGAAATGGAAAAATATTCTTAGGTAAAATTTTTTTGACCTTATAAGTATCCTATGGTATCCTAACATCGAGTCAAGTAGATCAACACCTCCCATATAGTTGTTGTATATTTCTATACTCTTTGGATGAGGAATCATAATGTGCTTTTTTTCCTTTCTGCAAAATCTCTGTACTTCGGAAATGGGCCGACTGCCTACGCAAGTTGATACTGTGGTAACTATTTTGTTATCATACTAGGAAACTACTGAAACATCTACGCCATCGACTCGAGCAACTCTCTCCATAATAATTGTACCTCTACCTTTTTTCTTCATCACAGATTCTTTAGGAAATTCGCAATCTGGCACACGCTTTTTGCGGACACTACCAAGAGGCAAAATGCCCTCTTTGCTGAGATAAACCAGTAATGGAAGGCCGGTGAACCAGTTATCAGAAAAAACCTTGTAATTTGGTTCCTTGGAACTGACCCTGTAAGCTTCACTACCACATTACTACTTGCCCTAAGATCTGGTTGATAAGACTGCAACTTAGTTGGCCCAGAAAAGAAGTCGAAATCATAACTGAAGCCTGATACTTCCCTTAGTACGAAAACTTTATAGCCCCATTTATGAGGTTTTTTTGGGTTATATTGCTTTAGGGTTGATCGAGCCTTTGTTGGTATAAATTGTTCGTCAACTGCAAGATGCTCTTCTTTTGGGACAAGTAGGTACCTCTCTCGTACTTTTTCTAAAAAAGGACGAATTTTGAACAGCTTATCGTAACCAGGTTCATCGCGATTTTGTTGCTTCGTATTATCATTGAAGTGAATAAAACGTTTTATTTCTTCAAATCTGTTACATGTCATAGCATCGGTTATTGCAGTAACTCTCAGTGTACTACTCCAATAGCTTCTAGTGGATGGCAGGTGCGCTACAGACATGTATATGCAAATTCCAATGAAAATATTTATCTCTTCTTTAGTTATATTTGGTGGCTTTTCAGGCCTACATTGGATATATAAATTGGTCTGTTCCATTATATGTACCAGTATGTCAACCGTAAAGAAAAACTTGAAAAATTCGAATATACCACCCAAATTCAAAATATCTTTTCCTAAGGAGTGAAACCCCTTGAATAATATGTCTTCGTCAGATACCCTCAACTGTTTATCTTCCCAATC